TATATATATATATATATATATATTTCTCATAATAAAAAAATGTTTTGGCTGCACACATGTCACTGTTTGTTAAAACATTTCCCGCTTAAAAAATTTGGATTCTAAATAACATTATTTTCACTTGCACGAAAAAAAACTTTTAATTTTTTTTTTAATTTTGAATTGATCTATCGAATCAAATCGAGATCAAATATCGAGTAAAGACAAAGACAAATTGCTCTCTTTTAACTTTTATTAATTATATAATATAATATATTACTAAAAAAATATACTTAACTTATAATAATTAATTATAAAAATCTAAATAACATTATTTTCACTTGCACGAAAAAAAAACTTTTGATTTTTCTTTTAATTTTGAATTGATCTATCAAATCAAATCGAGATCAAATATGCAGTAAAGACAAAGACAAATTACTCTCTTTTAACTTTTATTAATTATATAATATAATGTATTACTAAAAAAATATACTTAACTTATAATAATTAATTATAAAAATTTAAATAACATTATTTTCACTTGCACGAAAAAAAACTTTTGATTTTTTTTTTTAATTTCGAATTGATCTATCGAAATTCGATAATCGAATCAAATCGAGATCAAATATGCAGTAAAGACAAAGACAAATTGCTCTCTTTTAACTTTTATTAATTATATAATATAATGTATTACTAAAAAAATATACTTAACTTATAATAATTAATTATAAAAAATATTATATGACAGTTTTAAAACTTAAAAATATTTTTAATAAATTTAAAGTATATTTAATTTTGAAAGTTCTGAAAGTCATGTCATGTCTACACATATAAGTTTTTAAGGTTGTGGAAGCTATGTACTATTTAATTTTGAGAGCTTTGTTTAGTAACAATATATATAAATTTTAAAATAATATTACTTTCACTTATTATCTATTTATTTATTTTTATCATTTATTATAAATAAAAGAAAGTTCGACTGGACTGGTGTAACATATAGAAGAAGAAAAAAAATTCCGCTCAAACTCTTTTCTCCACTTCTTTTACTTATTTCATTTTCAAAATTTTTCTCACTCATCTACAATTACAATAGGGTGTATTTTTTTTTAAATCATATAAAATTTCTTATACAATTAATTTTATATTCATTATTAACGTTATTTTTACTTTGTATTTTTATAAATTATCCATAATAAAAGAACATATCTTTGAATAAGAATAAAATAAATTATCATAAATGTTAATTATATTTTTGAATTAATCACTACAAGAAAATTGTCATATAATGACATACATCCTATAGTGACACAATAAGTGTCACTAAAAATTACTTTTACCTACACAATAAATATAATATATGTTGATATATTGTTAAAAAGTGTGTGTATAAGTTATAGTGACACGCAAAATATGTTGTTAAATTTCATTTAAAATCAATACTAAAATTGTGTGTAGTTATATGTCAAATAGATATATACCTACATATATTATACTTATAGGGACACTTTTTGTATGTCACTATATGTAACATTTATTGAAGAGAATATAAAATAAATTAAAATAATTTACTACAATATTAATTTCTTATTTTATTAAAACACATTTTTTTTACTTTTTAACATGTAAAATTATTTGATTATTAGAAATATATAAAAATATTAAATAATTTCTTTTATTTTAAGTAATAATTATTTATTTTTATTAACTATTTTAAAATAATATTTAAAATATAAGTAATTGTTTGACAATTTAGTATTCTTAATTTATGGTTACTAGTATACACTATACAATGCACATATATTTGTTATATTATTAAAGTTTATAATAAATTATATATTAATAAATTCTATGTTTGAATATATAAATTATATTTAAAGTTAATATACATAAATATTTTACAGATATATAAATTATATTTTAGATTTATATTAAATAATTTATATTTTAACAATAAATTAATTTTTATTTATTAATAATTTATTTTAAAATATTAATATTTAATTAATAAATAATCATAATAAATAAAATTAAATTAGATAAGAAGTTAA